TTTCTTTGATAGTTTGGTCAGTGAACTATCAAAGATTCACCTAAGAACAACACCAGAAAAACTAAAAAGCTGAGGTGTAATACTAAAAATAGTGTTACACCTTAAAAAGTTCATAAAAAGATTTAAAAGTTCTTTACCAAAAAAAAACCCTTTTTGCAAATTATAAAAAAATCATGTTTTACAAACAAAATCGTTTTGACAAACTACCTTGAATAAATAAATCACTAGAATTTAATCAAAAAAAGTTTTCATTGAAAAAAAAAACTGTACACAAAAAATGAAACAATATTCAACAATTTAAAAAATATATATGAGACAAATATTTCTGTGTCCCTGCAATGCCAGCTCCTGTTAAGCGTATCTTTTGTCAGAGTAGATTGATAGTGCGCCTTCATAAAGCTCCTATGTTTGATTCGTTGCTTTGATGTTTTTTAAATGTAACAAAGACTTATAAGCTATATAGTGATGGGTGACATGTTTATGATTTATGTTTAATGCTAACAACTTATATCAACATATTTTTATATAAAATATTTTTATATAAAATATTGATAGTTGTTAGCATTAAGCACAGAAATAAAAATATGAAATTAAAAAACATAAAAGTAAAGAATTAACAGGGTCGTTTCCACACTTACCGTGAGTTTAACAAAAGTTATTATAATATGTTAGATTACTCAAAAAGTAGAAATTTATTAGAAATGAATTTTCGCAGCCGTCAATATAACACTATAAGGGTTAGTTTAAAATTATTCTCACTCTGAAATTTAAATCAATAATGTATTTATTTTGATCAAACTTTTAAAGCGCAGTTTTCCATACTTATCGTAAGTGTTTCACACTTATCATATATATTGTTGACAAATATCGTATATCTTAAAATCTGCTTTAGTGACTGGTTTATAATGGGCTCGCGGTTTCAAATGAAAATTTAATGCATTGGTAACATTTTATTAAATGTTTTTAGGTACATAAATTAAAAAAAAAAGACTATTAAATAAAAATTAATTACATAGTAATGAAAATATTATTTTGAATTAAAACTAAAGATTTTTAAAGCATTTCCATTACTTTAGTACAAATCTTTTCAGTTTCATAATTATCTGAGTCTTATTTTATATTTATTGTTAACAATGGAACTCAATTTCTGATTCAGTTTCAAGGCTTACTTTTTCTTTTGCGACTTTATTTTTCTTTTTCAAAATTTTCATGTTTTCTCTTTCTTTTTTAGTTTAATAACTTTTTCTCCATAGCCATTTGTTTCTTTCTTAATCTTTCTTCTTCTATTTTTGAATTTTTATCTGCAGCTAATTGTTTCTTTCTTAATTTTTCATCATTTATTTGTGACTTTTCTTGCACTTTTGTCTTCTGAATTTGCTGCCACATTTCAGATGCTACAACCGATGGTAAACGTTTTACTTTGCACTCGGACATTTGGACTGGTTGCTTTGGCTATATTAAAACACTTTCGATTTGAATAATGATTTCTGATACTATTTTTAAACTGAAAGAAGCTAGTTTTGGTTTTATTACAGCTGCATTATTGTAATCCGGCATTTTCATATTGGTTATACCTTGCATTTTCTAAATTACAAGTTGTTGATAGATTTTTATTTATATCCTGTTGTATTTCATCAGGTAAAGGTATGGTCTTATATGCTTCAGATGTTTTGAATTTGCTGCCACATTATCTGAACGGTCTTATATGCTTCAGATACCATATTTTTACCTCTTTTCAAAAAATGATACAATTGGAGGAAATCAAGATCACCTTTCCAACCTAAATATTCGTCAGCCATTTTAAACTGCTCTAAAATACTTAGATCAATGCACTTTTCAATAAAAATTATCGAAGAGTAAGCTGATAAAATCACGCTTAAATGGTTCTCTTCTAAATAAGGAGCCGGTGCAACAGTTGCCCCAGATAATTTTTGAGCAATTTTTTTGTAGTCAATACTATTAGCATCAAATAGAAAAATTCCGGTATTTTTAAACCACTTTTAATATTATTATTCCAAAGAAGGATTGATTATAAAAGAACTTAATGCTTCTGGTACATTTTCATTTTTTGTTTCTTGTCTTTTATGGTCAATGCACCATTGCGGCAAAAAGATTTCCAATTTGCTTTTATCGGCCCAAAAACTGCCACATCGAGCAGCTTCAAAATATGTGTTGCATTTGGGAACAAAGCAACAAGAATTATTCCATTTTTAGAGCAAAACTCCCTTTTCCGATATAAAAATTTGACGCATGACCATCAAAATAAATAATAACTGGTAAAGGAATTTCTTCTTTTATGAAAAATGGATGAAAAACGTTGGTAATATACTCAAAAAAACATTCTATGTTTATCTAATCATTTTCTCTTTTTCTAATACCCCATCCTAATGGAGCAGCATTTATAGTTCTATTTGGAAGACGAACTTATTTAAAAATTGTTAATGATGGTGCAAAAGTTCCGCTAGCATTTACTTCAAATAAAGTGGTGATGCTTTTTTTATTATTTCGAACACTTTCTTCATATGTAATTTTTCCTCGTTCACCAATTAATAAATTAGTTTTTGGTGACAACTAAAAACCACTATCATCCGAATTGAAAACGTGCATCGAATCATTTAAATATTGAGCGTTTTCTCCTAAAAGCTTCGAAATTTCAGTAAACAAATCTCTCTTTGCTTTTTCAGTTACTCCTCCTCTAGCTCGGTTTAAGTATTCACCACGTTTTTGAGCTGTTTATGACGGCAAAGAAATGCATAAAACCAAACTTTTGCAGGACGGTTGTTAGTAAATTGTGATTTTATATTGTTAGAATTCAAATATTTTTGCACAGTGTCCAACAGCTGCACCACAGACATTAAAAATCCCTTTCTGGTGCATGCTAGTAACCACTCAACTAACTTGTTTTCAATTTGTTCACCAAGAACCGATTCATACCCGCAGTGTTACATCTTCAGAGAAGTTTTTCAAAGTATTTTATAACGAAGCGTCTGATAAGGAATTTCAAACGTCTTGTTCGCTTTGTACACACAATCATGCATTTTAACATCATTTTAACAGCTTTTATAGCATCACGTAATTGACTATCAGTATATTGAAGTCTTCGTTTTGAGCTACAATATTTTATCTTATATTTTTGTCTTACCATGAATCTAAGTAAAATAATACTTATTTTTATAGTAAATAAGAAACAAAATTGATTATTCAAGTTTCTTTGTTTTATTTGAAACGTTTCTAACAGCTAGTACTTAAAAAAAAAGTATTTTCATAGGCTGACATAATAAACCCACTGAGTTTATATAAGTAACTATGTATTGCAGTTTCTATGTATTGTAATAGAAATGCATGACGATGTTGTTGATACACAAAATATATATATATATAAAAATTACTACTTTTAACAAAATTTATGTTAGTATGTAAAACCTACGATAAGTGTCGATTCACGGTAGGTGTGGAAACGACCCTATGTAAAATATGAAAATTCAGCAATAGCGGAACATTCAAAAAATGATATCGGGAATTTTGGAATTTTGCGCAATAAAAATACTCTAAAATTAGTGGTCAATAAACATTTAGATTGCATTGAAACTATTACTTGTTATTTTTTATCATTAGCTATCATTTGCTATCATTTTAAAGTAATAAAAACAGAAACTGTAACAAAATATAAACTACAAGTTTATAAACTTTTTTACAATATAAACTACAATATATAATATAATTTACAATACAAACTATAAGCTCTAACATTTCGACAATTTAAGTAAAGATGATACCAAAAATCCTAACAATATAATTCTAAAGTTCTTAGAAAAAAAAAGTATTTAAAAGGCTGGCGGAGCGGGAGATTTTAAGAATTGTTCGATCCCAGTTTCTAGAATTTTAATAATATTTAAAACATTTTCATGCAGTTATGTAAATTATAGCTGATATATTAAATACTTCAGAACAATTTTAGAATTTTAAAAGTGAACAATTGTTTTGGTGCCATTTCGATAACATAAAAATATTTTAAATTTCTTAATTTTTATATGCACGAGCAATAAAAAAACTTGTGTAAATCAGTTACTACATTTTGCAAAATTTATGTTAGTATTTAAAACCTACGATAAGTGTCGACTCGCGGTAGGTGTGGAAACGACCATAGTTCTATTTTTTTATTTTTATGTATTTTTGTTTTTGTTTTTCATATCATCTCCAAATATATTTTTTACTGACTTTGTCAAATTCTGCGCATAACCTTGGTATAACTTGTATAACCTTGATATTATTGTCACAGCACTTGCTACCTGCAGTTAACAATTTGTTAACAATTGGCCTTAACATAAGGCCAAAATTTAGACCTTTGGCTTTGAAAATGTTTATGTAGGCCTTGGCCTTGAAACTTTTGTCCTTAAACTTAAAATTCTTGACCTTGGCCTTGGTCTAGAAACTATTGCTCTTGGTTTTGTATTTGACCTTAGTCTTGGTCTTGAAACATGTGGTCTAGGCCTTGAAAAATGTGGTCTTGGACCTGGCCTTGGCCTTGCTATTTTTAATCTTGTTAATAACTGTGTCAAACACAAATGTTCATCTTTGTCTTTTGGTAAACAATAAACGGATATATAGTTCTTATTCTTGTCATAGTTAGACAAACATGAAGTGACACAATAGTGCATTCAGCATAGAGCATCCAGTAAGTTTTTAAAACTTCTCACTTATGAAGTGAGCACTCTACCACTACACTACTACCCTAGAATTCAACTGACAATTTCAATCTTCAAATATTATGCTTACTTTTTTATCCATTGCATTTTTATCCATTTTTGTCAGTAAAGCTTGTTGTAATATAATATTTTTATTTATAAATAATATTTTACATAAATTGATTAATATTTTACATAAATTGTTTTAATATGCTAACCATTGTTTTTTTATTGGTTCATTTTAAATCGAAATTCCTTAATTTATGGTGACGTTCTCATAAGAATAAAATAAAAAATAATATAATAAACAGTTACCAACATCATGAGACAAGTATGTGCATCAATAGAAACTCTTGCATCAACTAAAACACACAGATTAAGACTTAATAGTAAAAAATTTAAAATGAATTCAAAAAACTATAAAATTAGAAGAAATACAAAAAAAAAACTTTTAATTATTACATTCCTTTCCAAAAAATTGAAAACTAAAATAAAAAAATTAAACTTATTCCAGGAAAGAAAAAGCTAATGTAGTATATTTCATGCCATTTTATGTAAAATATGTGTGATCTGAAATAAAATCAGCACTTTAGCGTGCAGAAATATTTTTTCTATATTTTTTATGTAATTTCTTTACAGCATTTTTTTTCTTTATTTTTAGATTGATTGTTTAGATTGATTTGTTTTGACAAAATTTAGACAAAAACAAAACAGATTTTATGTAAAAAAAAATTAAAAAAATAAAAATTTATATCGACCAAATATTTAAACTATTAAAGATTTTCTTTTATATTAAGATGTTCAGTATTTACAATAGGATTTTAATTAATAGTAATAAATTAAGAGTAATAGGATTGTTTTTAAATTATGTTTAAAAAAATGTTTATTTAAATGAAATACTATGTGTTTTTATGTTGTTGATTTCATTACACTTTTATTTGCAATGAACTATTAATATTATAAGAAAATATTAAACCATTATTATTCTAAAGAAATCAAAAAATGAAGACAATTATTTAAAATTAATTCATTGAATGATTATCTTCTATTTATTTAATCTTTTTAAATATAATTGTTTTATATTTGATATAAAACAATTATATTTAAAGATAACTAAAAATACTTCTATACAACTATTGTAAAAAAAAAGAGTTTTTTTTATTCTTTACACAGAAAATTAGGGGGGAAAAGGGCACATCAGAATAGTAAGACAAGACAACAAGAAACAAAATTTTTGTTGGCATCAATTCAAAAGGTTAAGTTAGGTTAAGCATCTGAAAAAGAGCCATAAAGATATATAAATATAAAATATCATATAACTTTATGGGTAGAGCCATGTGTATGCTTTTGAACCAAGTTTCTGGCTAAATTTTAATTTCTTTTAATTCTTTTCTAAAACTTACTCATGTATTGTAAATCACGTTTTGCTTCTTCTAACTCTAAAACTGTAAGAATTGAACTGGCTGCTTCTCTGGATGCATCTTCAATATTATGGGCTTCATCTAAGATCACTATACCATCATCAATATTGATTGACATCTACATCAACATCAAAAAAAAAAAAAATTAAACTAAAATCAAGTGCTATGAAAAAGCACTTGATTTTAGTTTACTTTGCGCTGTACAGTACAATTGAAGTTTACATGTACTTTACTTTACAACTGTAGTTTACATTTACTGTACCATACAATTAAAATTTACTTGTACTGTACTGTACAATTGAAGTTTACTTGCAAGGTACCATGAAATTATAGTTTACATGTACTGTACCATACAATTCAAGTTTACTTGTGCTGTACCATACAACTGATGTTTATTTCTACTGTACCATACAATTATAGATTACTTGTACTTTACCATACAATTACTAACAAAACAAACAATTTATATATATATATAAATATATATATATATATATATATATATATATATATATATATATATATATATATATATATATATATATATATATATATATATATAAATATAATATGATACAAAAAACACAATTATCGATAAATAACTTTTGAGTTCACAGAGTAAACTAGTATAATAAATATAACATAAAATATGAAATAAAAACAACAAACTTTAAGCAAAGTTAAAACAAAACCAAAAAATTTGTAATACTTGATTTCTAATAACAGGATCAATAAGATAGTTAAATGGACAGAAGATGATATCAGCTGTTCTACTCAATTCACGAGCACCAAAATAAGGACATGCCTTTAAATGAAATTATATAAAACTGTAAATATTTTCAATACATTACAATACAAGACAAATAATATACAATACAATACATTACATTACAATACAAGACAAATAATATACTAAATGTAATACCATATTCTCTTTTTTCTATTTTATTAATAAAAGATTTGTTAGATAACTTTACAGTTATTTTTGAAAACATTTAACAAACTATCTCAACCATTTCACTTTTATTTTTCTAGAAGTAGGGTTTTTTATTTTTAAAATGTAAGAACATGTAATTTTTAAATGTAAGAGTTATTAATTGTTGGATTTATTTTTAAACACATATCTTTAAATATATTTAAAATAATACCTATTATATCAAAGTTTTTGTTACTATGATATTCTTTCTTATTAACTGTTATTATTTAACTGTTATTTGCTTTCTCTTGATTTTAATTTGCAACTATTTTTAATTAATTTCATTAGAAATAAAATTATTAATTATGCTTGAAATTGCCAAATGTAAACAAGATGTAGGTGTATATGTAAAACATTTTTATTTTTTCCTCTCTTAAATTATAAAGCATTGACACAAAACTTTACAATTTATTAAAATTTTAGCAATAAAAGCAAGTTGTTACTTGTCAGGTCAGATGTAAAGTCTTTATGACTATACACCTGACCTGAGGATCACCCTGCTACTGGTAACATGTAACCCAGTGCAACCTGTTTCATGTCCTGCTGCTTTGTGAGATTCACTTTCAAAGCAAGGGCTGGAAGGATATTGCTTCCTGTCATTAGTACTATTTAAAATTGATCATGCCTATAGTAATATAAACATATATATTTATTTTGTGTGGGTCTTTTATATAGTTGGAGTTGCCTTAGTTACTGTTTTAGCTCACCTGTAATCTACTTTATATGTATGTTTGTGTTCTGTCTAAAACTCTGGTGCGGTGTTTATTCACCAGTAAGTTGCTAACTGTATGTTTGTGTTCTGTCTGAACCTCTAGCGTGGTGTTTACTCACTCAAAAGTTACTTTATGCATGTATGTGCTCTGTTTAAATGTTTAAATCTGTTTTTATGCAATGTGAGCTTATTAACTAGACACTCCAACTAATAAACTTATGCTCACCCTTATCTCTAGAATTTTGTTGGGAGTAATATTTTTCCTAATGCATTTCCAAAATATCATGCCTGATGTTTTTAGATGATGTTTGCAGGATGCAGCTCTTTTTAATTACTCCAGGTCAGGTCAGGTTCAGGATCACCCTGCTACTGGTATTTTGTAACCCAGTACCACCTGTCCCATGCCCTGCTACCTTGTAGAGTGTGCTTTTACAGGCAAAGGCTAGGAGAAACAAACTCCAAGTTAAAAATACCCTGCGTTGGGGTTCTTGGTTGAGTAAAGGCTAGAGTAGTGTCTCTATAAAAATACTTATCTTGGGCAGATGTTAACTGCATCCAGTTGTTTTGTAGGAGGCCTCTTAGGCAAAGACTTTAAAGGTAAGCAGAATAATTCTATTTACCAGCCTTAAACCTCTTCTTCATCTATTAGGCTGGCATAGTTGTAAACCTGTGTTACATTGCTTCCTGCCTAGTATGATGAATGGTGGATCTTCTTGACTTTTCTTATAGGTTTTTACTTGTGCCCCCTTGATAGTGGCTATACAAATCTTACTGTTATCTCCAAATGAGGTAACATCTATAAAACTCAATTTAATGGTTCTGAGGCCGGCTGATAGTAAGGTAACCCGAACTCTGTGGTAGCTCTTAGAGGCTGATTCCATCAACAGTTGCAAAATATCAAAGTATTAAGAGTGCCATGTTGTGAATGGATGTTGTCCCTGTTAATGCTTTTGGTGCCCTTATTGTCAAGGCCTTATGAGGAGCCCTATGCTACCACTTAGGGTTAATTACAGGACTGAAAAAATTGCATAGCTTATTGCTGGGGAGGCCCTGCTCTATCTATGAATGAGTTAAGTTCTCTTTCAACTTTAATATGCCAAAATTAAATCAAAATATTAAATATAAAAAACCATCACCAAACTGTTTTAATAAATCTTTTACTGATATTCGTGTTTACCAAATTTACCAGACTTGTTTGTTGTTAGTGAGACTAAATTAAATTCTTCTATTCCTTCTTCTGATCTCAATGTTGATGGGTACTATCCTTTGATTCGCAAAGACTCTAATAGCCACATACTTAGCTTAGGGGTATACATACCCATCAATTCACCTACTTGTAAAATCAGGTTCAAATCCTTTTACCATTCCTTTATGTACCTTCGCTTAACACCTCTTCACTCTATCACCTTTCTGTTTATTTTTTGTTGTTCTCCTTCTTCCCAAGACTGAATTCTTTTAGATCAAATTTCTGATCAAATTCACCATGCTCTCTCTTTACCGCTCTGCCAATATTGTTGTTGATAGTGACTTTAATGCTCATCGCATTAAATGGCTTGGCTCTAACACCACTGACCCTGTGGCACTAAAGCCTATAGCTTCTGTATTCATGGCGGTCCTTGGACTGATGTCTATTCCCTTTCAGCTGAAAAATGGGTCTCCTACATAACCTCCTGGATTCAGGCAGAAATGGATGCTTTTATTCCTTCATGTCAACTCCAAGTCAAGCCTTACTTTACTCCATAATTTTCACCATCTAGTTCTAGTGCAGCTGCTATATCTAATCGTAATCTTTTTTTTTTAATCTTTTTTAAAGAACAACTCTCTTGAGAACAAACAGCTATTTATTATTGCGAGAAATTGATGTAAAAAGGTGCTTTTTAGTTACTTTTAAGTTTCATTATTCTCAGTTCACTAAATCTAGTATCTTATCTCAGCCTTTTGGGCATTTGTTTTTGAAAGTTACATTTGAAATGCATTTTAAAGATTTTTTAAACGTTCTTTACGTGAGAATGTTTAAAAGACGTTAAAAAGACATTCAAAATATATTAAGAACATAACTTTTAAAAATTAATGCTCGCTGGGAGAAGTAAGGCTCTAGAGACTTTTGGAAGAACTTCAACAGCGTTGTTAACAAAGGAAGGCCTAACATTTCATCTCTCATTCATGGGAATGATCTTATTACCTTCCACAAGGATAAGGCTGAACTATTTGCATATAACTTCTCTTTAAAACTCAACTCTCAAATGTTATAGCCATTCTCTTCCTTCTATTTTAATATTTCTAATTAAGCAGGTTAACCCATTGTTAGACATTCTAATCACTCCATCTTCCTTTGCTAAAAACATATCTCAATTAAACTTTTTTACAGCTTATGGTCCAGACAATATTTCTGTCACAGTCTTACAAAATTGTTCTCCAGAACTTTCTTCAATTCTCTCTAAACTATTTAATAAGTGCTTGACTGAGTCTTGTTTTCCTGCCTGCTGTAAAATGACATCTGTTGTTCCAATTTTCAAAAACTCTTATAAACATTCTGACTCCTCCAATTATCGTCCAATCTTCTTTCTGTTATTAACAAAGTCTTTGAGTCTTAGATAAAAAAAAATTTCACATTCCATCTCCCATCACATAACTTGCTTTCGGAAAATTAATACGGTTTATAATCCTCTCGCTCTACGGCTGACTTGCTAACTGCTGTGACTGAAAATTTTTATTGTGCATTAGATAGAGGCAGAGAGGCTAGGGCCATTGCTCTTGACATATCTAAGGCTTTCAAAAAAGTTTGGCATGTTGGTCTTCTCCATAAGCTTGTTTCATATGGTGTATCTGGGAAAATTTTGTTTCTTATCTACATTAATGACCTTCCGACAACCTTACATCTAAAGTAGCTCATTTTGCTGATGACTCAACTCAAAACTTGTGTCTTGACAAAATGTTTTCTCTTTTAGATCTCTTAGAATAGGCAGCCGATCTTGAATCTGATCTCACTTCTGTATTAGATTAGGGCTCACAGTGACTTGTAAATTTTAATTCCAACAAAACTTAGTTATTTACAGCAAACAACTATCGCGGTACTGTCAGCATTCCTATATTGATGAATGGCAACCCTCTTACAGAGTCCTCTTCTTTAGGTCTTTTTGGATTATCATTTATTACTGACCTTTCATGGAAACCATCTATATGATTGATTGCTAAATTAGAATCTGCTAAGGTTGCTTCATTTTATTGTGCTAACCATTTTCTATCTTGATTCTATTCTTTACATTTACAAATCTGTTATTTTTCCTATGGAATACTGCTGTCATATTTGGGCTGGTTCTTCTAATGATGCTATTTTTCTTCTAGACAAGATCTAAAAATGCATTGTAAACGTAGTTGGACCTGGGCTGTCTCCTAAGCTTGAGTCTCTTGCCCATTGTCGTAAAGTTGCATCTTTTCATCTTTTCTACTAATACTATCATGGCCTCTACTCAAAGGAGATTTCATCTCTAGTTCCATCAACTAAATCTCATTCTCACTTGACTCGTCATTCATCAAAGTCTCATTCTTATACTGTATCTGTCCCTGCATGCTCCAAAAACTTTTATTTGTCTAGCTTTTTTTCCTGCACTTCAACCCTTTGAAACTCTCTCCCATCTTTATGTTTTCCTGACTCATACAACCTTTAATTCTTTAAGTCTTTTAAAGTATCAAATTAATATATATATATATATATATATATATATATATATATAATATATATATATATATATATATATATATATATAATATATATATATATATATACATATATATATATATATATATATACATATATATATATATATATATATATATATATATATATATATATATATATATATATATATATATATATATATATATATATATATATATATATATATATATATATATATATATATATATATATATATATATATATATAATATATATATATATATATATATATATATTTATATATATATATATATATATATATATATATATATATATATATATATATATATATATATATATATATATATATATATATATATATATATATATGCTTTATCAATTTAAAGTATTGTTTATAAAAAATACTTGAAGTCTTATGAGAAAAAAGATTTCCAATCACTGTAATCTAAATTTTGATTCCAATCATGGTAATCTAAAAATAATACTTATCACACAATAACAAAAATGCAAAAAATAGTTAAGGAAACTGAATTAAAATTATTTTATTAGCTGTTTGCTCCATCTACAACTTGACATAAAAAACTTTAAAAACTAAGTTTTGCTCTAAATAGATCATAATAAATCAATGAACCATGATGATTCTATTCATTTTTTTTTATAAAGATTACATTTTTAAATTACAAGTTTATAATTTATTATTTTTATAATAATAATAAAAATATGTAAATATATGTAACCAATGGTTACATGTATTTATTACTCATAACATGCTAATAAATAATATAACTAATTAATAACTCTATAAACCTTCTTTTTTTTCCCAGCAGCAACTAAATCTTCAATATCCCAAGCTGTAGTAAGATTACATTGTTCTTGAACTATATTTTTGGAAAGCAGATGTACATTATTGTAAAATCTGCAACTTTTTCCCTAAAAAATAAATATAATATATTTATATATAAATAAATAAAATATATATAAAACAAAAATATATACAAACTATATATATATATATATATATATATATATATATATATATATATATATATATATATATATATATATATATATATATATATATATATATATATATATATATATATATATATATATATATAGAGAGAGAGAGAGAGAGAGAGACATAGATACAGCACTAGGAATTAGGGTTGGCATTACCAAAGGTCAATCTAACTACCAACCTAAAAGTGTTTAAAGTCGGCAAAAAATCGCAGACCTCATTTTCATGTTTTAAGGAAAAACTTTTTTTTTTACCGATCTTTGACAGTTTAAATTCAATCAGGAATAAATTTTCAAACTCATTTTTTCTAATTCCGAGTGCTGCAAATATATATATTAGGGTGTCCCAAAAAACAACATTTTCAAAAATAATCTGCTCCCACCCCCTAAATGTATTCTATCTAATACAAAAATACTACGTTTAAAACTTTTTTGAAAAAAATATTTTAAGGGGTCCCTCAAGACCCTTGAATATTTAATGGGTCCCTAAAAGTCCCAAAATTATCAAAAATAAACAAAAAAAAAGCATTTTTTTTAATTTTTTGTTAAAAAATGTAATTTTTTATGTAATAAAATCACAATAACAATTAATACACACTTCCTACATGTTCTACTTATTTAAGGCAGGCAATGTATGTACACTCGTGTTCTACCTATTTAAATAATGTATGTGCATATCACTGTGCTAATCTCTAAATAAATTAGTTGATAAAATAAAAATGAAAAAACAATTAAATAAAACAAACAAAAATAAAAAATAAAAATAGAAAGAAAAAAAAAAAAGATTCAATAAAACAAAGAACAATTGTTTTTTTCTATTAAGCTGCACTTTCGTGGTTTTATAAAAACAACAAAATCTAATTAGTTTCTTTGATTATTTCAATGGTTTTTGCATAATGTATAATTTGGCTAACTTTATGCACAAAAAGTCCTATCAAAGTTTAGTATAAATGATAAACTTTGATTAAAAAATTTTTTTTGTGAATTTTTTTTATTTCAAAATTTTTTCCATAAAACCAATTTTATTTATCAAATGACCTAATATTATTGCATTTATAAAAAAAGCTTTGTATGAATATAAATAAATGGTACTCTTTATGTGAATATAAATACATAGATACATACATACATACATACATACATACATACATACATACATACATACATACATACATACATACATACATACATACATACATACATACATACAGGCTTGGACAGGAATAGCGTGCGATCGAGCGCTATTGCTGACCATGCAAATGATTTTATTTTTTGACAACTTAACCACAATTGTTTAATAAACAATGTTTTGATGAGTTAAAAATTTCAGAAATGTTCCTAATGTAGAAACGCTAAACTAAACTTAAAAAAGGAAAAAAATAAAACATAAAAACTAACAAAAAAAAAATTCCTTACGAAAAAAGAAACGAAAAACAAATTCATAACGAAAAAGAAATTATATAAGCACTAAAATAAAAATAAAAACTTAAACTCAAAGAGAATCTTTTTGTTACGTTTTTAATTATGTATGAAATAAACGTTATTAAAGCTTATCTTTTTAAGCGTTATTAAAGTTACGTAAAACGTTTTTAAATTAAGTAACAAATTACTACTAATGATTGGTTTAATAAAAGAACAAATTTTATTAAATCTATTAAAAAGTCTTTTATATAATATTTTGAAATTGTATAAACATTTTTTTTGTCAAAAAAGTTGCAAAAAAAAATTGTTTAAAAAAATAACGTAGTCTTTTTAAAATAGTAATTTTTACTAATTTCATGCTCTAATTAGTGAGTCTAATTGAAAAAAAGAAAAAAAAAAATATTTTTATTTTTATTTTTAGGAATAAAAACTTTTTTATTCCTAAAAATAAAAATAAAAAAATTATAATAATAAAATGCGCCTGCGATTTAAATAAAATAAATTGCCAACAAGCTTTTTAATTTAATTTTAATTTGGGCATTACAACTTTATTAATGAGCGCTTCGTGTAATGAATTTAAAAATTATTATAAAAGATTTAATCTCATTCATTTCTAACGAAAGTAAAAAAAAAAAAAAAATTGTTTACAAAAGATAAAATGTTTATTTAAAACATTTTAAAAAATTGTAAGTTTAATCAAAAAAATTAATAGTATGAACATTAATGCTTTAAAACTTTTTCATTAAATCAACAAAATACATGCTTATATAAGTAAATAAAGTTATTTTATATTCTTGTGTAATTCACATAAAATGTGTAAAATTTAGTAGTCACAAAAGCTTTTGAACTTATTCACAAATTAAAGTAACTTAAAAAATTTGTTCTAAAATCAATGGTTTCAAAATGTCTAAGGAAGACATAAGAAAATAGTTTCAAACATTAAAATTTATCATAAAAAACAAATGCCTACATAAAAAAAACATACTTATAAGGTTTTTTATTAATTTACACAAGCGTTTATGTAAACAATAACTATAATTAATTTTATGGTTTTATTTAAAGCCTTTGCGTAAAATAAAAAACTTTAGAAAAGATCAATGATTAAAAGATATTTATAATGTAACACTTTTTTTATTGCATTCAAATTGTTAAAACATCAAAATAGCCGTTGTCAAGTTGTAAAGAAATAAAAATATTAGCATGGTCAGTTACAGAGTGCAATAGCACGCGATTTCTGTCTAAGCCTGTACATACATACATACATACATGATAATAACAATAATTTTGATACAAAAACTTTTATACTTCAATATTTAAAAATATACCTCATTTCCACGTACTAGTTTTTTACATTCTTCATTCTTGTTTATGTTTTTTGAAACAGTATGATGAATACAGGTATACTCTCGACTGCTTAAAATACTCATTCTAAATTATTTATTTCAATGTTTTCATATATATATATACATATATATATATATATATATATATATATATATATATATATATATATATATATATATATATATATATATATATATATATATATATATATATATATATATATATATATATATATATATATATATATATATCTGTTAGAAAAAATGTGACGGATTCTGTATCTCTGTTAAATTAACAGCAATTTGTTATCAAAAACAACTAATTAACAAAATTTCTACTAAGATAAATAGTAAATCTATGTATAAATACTGCATATGAAATATTACTTTTATGTTGATTTAAAAGATGCCTTTATAATTGTGATTAATTTTATTGTATTTATGACAAAGCTTATAGGTGTATTAAAGGGGGTATTAATAAGGAGTAAAAAAAATAAATTGAAATATTTAACATAAAAAAATATATAAAGAGAAATATAAAGACTTACACAAACATTACTTCACAATCAAGGAAAATTTGTTTTGGATCGGTTAATCCACATAATGTTATTACAATTAAACTATTTGATTCTGTTATTTTTTAAATAAATTTGTTTGCAACATCACATATAAAAAATAAGTTGTTAAAAAATCAATTTTGTTTACAGGACCATAAATCACATTTAAATCATAGATAAACTGATTATTGTAGTAAGTTTACATTTTACATATTTTCATTTAAAGATACAAGGTTTTTATCCAGTAACTTAATAAACTGTCAGTTTTTTAGTCTCATAATTTTTTTACTCCTAGAAATAACGACAAGAAATAATACATAAATCTCTCCTTTATTATCCTCCTTACTGGGGTACATAGCTAAATGATTGGAGTGAAGTACTTTTAAATAAAATAAAGCGCTTTCAAATATAACTAACCATTTATGAACAACAGTGATGTACCCAGAAATTTTTTGGGCATACTGGTCTAAAAATTCTATCTAAGTTTTAAGAACATTTTTTTTTTACCAATTGCGTAAATTGCTTACATTTTTTAAAATAAAAATAACTAACCAAAATAATTATCAATGTTACATTAACAGCTTTAACGCCAACATCGATTTGCCACTTATTTTAATTTATACATTTTATTCACAAACTAATATGAAGACAAAATCAAATTTATTTCCTTACTGCTTCTTCGATGAGTACCCTCAACGCAGGTACTCGCAAAAAAAGCTTTATAACTAGAACATTTAATAAACTATATATATATATATATATATATTTCTTTTGAATAAACTTAAAATTTAATTAAGGCATAGTAGAAAGAGTAGACATTTTATAAACCAATGCGCCTATCCCTAGAATCTTGATAAATGACAGTTAGCTCGACATAAGTTTGTTTTGTTAAATTTTCTTGGGCCAACCAAAGAAATTTGCATAGGCAGTCAAATACTATTATACTAAGTCAATTTCTTCGTTTAGAATGTATTAAGTTTAGCATAGAGAACCCTCTTTTGTCATGCTTGATGGTATGAAAAATGACAATTTAAATAACTTCATTATCTCATAGTGTTGCTCACATGCATACTAGGTATGGAAAACAGTATATATAGCACCGCTTGTTATAGATTGTTCATACTGATATATATATCGATACTACTACTCTTTTCTTTTACTAAAGCTTGAATTTTCAGGTTCCTTTTTATTTCAAGGTTAACTAAGATTTCTCTATAATCATAAAAAAAATGATGGATATCATCTTCATTATCTTGAATAGGATTAAACAATGGTTGTGCAATAATTTTTTCCCTTATCAATAACAGCATGTTATGCTTGTAACAGCATGTTATGCTTGGCTAAAACAAAGTCGTAAAGTTTACTAATGCTTGTTGAAAATTTGTTGGGATCATCATGTTCACCAATTAAATTAAATGTATTAAAGCTAAAAAAACATCATCATTAATTTGCATTGCTGTTAAACCATCAGCACTTTGTGCTGCATCGATTATTGAGGTCTTGACACTGGAATATTTAATGGCTTTTCAAACCCCCAAGATATTAGCATCAACCCTAACTGGGAAACTCTTTCGTTAAGTGTACATATACAAGAGCTAAACAATAACGACACATAATGAACTTTGAGAGGGGAGAATTTTTTTTTTGGCTTAGCATGTAAACCATTACCCACCACACTCATTATGTTAATTCCATTAAAGCCATAAAAGCGCAGTTGCTGTATATCTATCAATTTAAATTTTAAAACTAATTGTATTTGTTAATATAAGGCTTGCGCATCCTTTCTTTCAATAACTTGGAAACCTTATTGTCTAATTTATCACTTATTATTTTGAGGAACTAATCAACACTAGTTTCTAATGTGTATGTCACTCATTTGCTAATAATTTTAAAGTGTCAGTCTCCTTAAATTCAACCATATGAGTAAAGTTTTCCTGGATTGCGCAGTTCTTTTTAATTACAAAGTAAAAAGTTTTATGAAAATGTTTTTTGATGTTTCAGTTGTGCTGTTTACCTGCAATTCTGTAATGCAAGCAGCCATCGACCATCTGTTTTGTTTTCTTTTGGTTGAAAGTATTTTTTTTTACCTGTTAGCGTTTTTTGGCAGCATCTTGGTCATCCTTATTCATCTCTTTTAACTTTGATGTGCAGTAAATATCATATGTGGATGTTCAAAAAACTTTGTGCCTTTAGTTCTCCAAACTCTATTTTCCCAATATTCTTTAAAAACGCTACATAACCAGCCTTGATCTTTTGCAGAATAAATAGCAAATAGATTTTGTTTATTTTGTTTCCCATTTCTAAAGAGATTGGTGACACCTCATATACATGCGTAAAGATTTATTGATACTATGAATAACGCTTTTGTTTGATTCATGAGCTGTAAAAATTTTGCTTTTGTTTGTTCTTATCACAGGAATCAACTGCTGATCTACCTCTTCCCAAATTTGTTCTGTGTCTTTTGTCATTTGGTTAATTGAAATTGCTTCAAAAGTTGACATCTGCCCAGAATTTGCATTGTTATTTGTACTGTTTAAAGATCTGCATGTGGTCGAACTTTTGTGGTGTCTTCTACATAAAGTCTTTGGTTTATCCATATTATATAAGCTAAACATATTATATAAAGTTGTGCTAACAAATATTAGTAATTAAAGTTTATAAAAACATACAACACAGAGTTATAGCATAGTAAGGTCATTAATTCATTCATAACACAAGCATAATTATTAATTCATTAATTCATTCAAAAGTTATTAACTTTTTTTTTCTTCTTCAAATAGCCACATCAAAAAACTTTTCAAATAGCCACATAAAAAAAAATCAAGTTTTTTGGCATGATTTTTATAATGTTATTACATTTTTAAAAAGTTTTATTTATTTTATTATTTAAAAATGTTTACATTTTTACAAAATTTTACTATTACTTAAAATGAGTTTAAAGCATATAGTGTTTAAACGTATTGTAAATTATAGTTGTGAAAATGCAAACGGAGGAAAAACTCATATTAAGTGTATTTTGCAGTTCATATTTTAATCCAATCAAAATATGTGCTTTCCATTTTAATCTAATAGTAACATATTCCATATTTCATCCACATTAATTCAAATTAAGCATTCTGATTGACTTAAAATATATTTATAATGTGTTTTAAAAGTCGTTTGCAAACAATGCTTTTTCTAAACAGCATTAATAAGAAGTATCATAACAAATTTTATCATCACAAAATAGCAACATAATAAGTAATAAAGAATTATTTTATTTTAATTTTTTAAAACAAACGTGATGCTAATATAAAATTAGCTGATATTTGATACCGGTATATTTTATTATAGTTTTATATTATAAAATTATAACAAAAAATAACGGCTCTTGGATTATCTTTTTTGAAAGCCATTTTAGCCACTAACACTTTTAATTGTAAAAAAAAATATAACAACTTTTGTTTTAGTTTACTTTAGTAATTATTGAAAAAGTAAAATAATCTGAATGCCTTTATCTTAAGATACTACTACATAAAATTTAAATATAAAACTTTGGCATTTGTAGAATAATCAGACAGCTTAAATGATATAATTGACTTTAAAGGTAACGGCTGCTTTTATTTGAAAAGTTTATTAGCTTTTATTTTATTTATTGCCTTTTTGCTTTGTTTAATGAAAGCCAACCTTTATATAAACTCCAACTTCTGATTGAAAAAATAAAAAAAATATTTTAAAAAACTAGAGCTAAATAGTGTTGATGATAAAATTTGAAAATAATAAAATTGTGAAAAAAATTAGACCAGAATTCAGGAAAAAAAAGTCAAACTTTTGAATAATTTTGGTTTTCTGTGATGTTAAGGGTCAATTGTAAACCTTTATTGCTAAAATTTGAAAAAAAAAAAGAGCCTAAACTGAATATACTTTGCAATTAAGACCATGCATATTTTTGCATTGACCTTGTTACTAAGTATTTTTAATTCAAAGTCTCAATAGATTCATTAAAATTTTCCCATTTTGTAATAATTAATGTTGTCTTAACTCTCTATTTTGTAATAATTAATGTTGTCTTAACTCTCTATTTTGTAATAATTAATGTTGTCTTAACTCTCTATTTTGTAATAATTAATGTTGTCTTAACTCTCTATTTTGTAATAATTAATGTTGTCTTAACTCTCTATTTTGTAATAATTAATGTTGTCTTAACTCTCTATTTTGTAATAATTAATGTTGTCTTAACTCTCTATTTTGTAATAATTAATGTTGTCTTAACTCTCTATTTTGTAATAATTAATGTTGTCTTAACTCTCTATTTTGTAATAATTAATGTTGTCTTAACTCTCTATTTTGTAATAATTAATGTTGTCTTAACTCTCTATTTTGTAATAATTAATGTTTTCTTAACTCTCTATTTTGTAATAATTAATGTTTTCTTAACTCTCTATTTTGTAATAATTAATGTTGTCTTAACTCTCTATTTTGTAATAATTAATGTTGTCTTAACTCTCTATTTTGTAATAATTAACGTTGTCTTAACTCTCTATTTTGTAATAATTAACGTTGTCTTAACTCTCTATTTTGTAATAATTAATGTTGTCTTAACTCTCTATTTTGTAATAATTAATGTTGTCTTAACTCTCTATTTTGTAATAATTAATGTTGTCTTAACTCTCTATTTTGTAATAATTAATGTTGTCTTAACTCTCTATTTTGTAATAATTAATGTTGTCTTAACTCTCTATTTTGTAATAATTAATGTTGTCTTAACTCTCTATTTTGTAATAATTAATGTTGTCTTAACTCTCTATTTTGTAATAATTAATGTTGTCTTAACTCTCTATTTTGTAATAATTAATGTTGTCTTAACTCTCTATTTTGTAATAATTAATGTTGTCTTAACTCTCTATTTTGTAATAATTAATGTTGTCTTAACTCTCTATTAGGAGTATAAAAATGACTTAAATTTTTCAAGTAAAAATAAAAAAATATTTCAAGATTAAAAAAGGATGAAGTTAGGGTAATATGCTAACTACTACATGCTATATAATGTACATGCTCAATTATACACTTTTTATCTCAATATCAACATCATTTCATCACATTATTAGAGATTGTAAAATAAAATAATAACTTAATGTTAACTTATACTGTTGTTATTGTTTATACTATTTTATCAAAACTTATATTGCTTAGGACCTAAACTTCCAACGGGTATGGATATTTTGCAACACTTTAAATATTGTCAATCAAATTTGCCAAATGGAATTACAAAAAAGTTGCATATTATGTACTGCCCCACAATATCAAGCATAAAGGTTGATAGATGTCAACAAGCTGAATGGGAATATACCATGGCTAAAATGAAACATCTATGGATTAAAGCAGGATAATTAGTTGTTAGCAATGTAAGTAATAGAAAAAATTCTGAAAATCTTGTGAAAAAAATATTTGTTGACAAACACCAAAAGAAACTCAAAACAAAATTTTAAAAATCAAGAAGAATTAGAAAGCTTCCTTATTTAAACATTTTTTGGATAGGATTTCCAGAGCTAAAAGATTCTCAAATTTTTTTTTTTTTTTTTTTTTGTTATTCATTTCCTCAAGGCCGAAAAGGCTACTACAGACGAGGAGGCTACTTAATAGTGGTTATAACCCTCTCTCAACTCTATAACTGTGAAACACGAACCTTGACGAACAAGGCCGCTACGCGGAGAAATAAGTTAAGTGCGGTACTACCAGGGACGTGGTGGGGATCGAACTTGGAACCTCTCGCTTATGAATATAAGTGACAAGCTAAGATCTGATAAAACCTAACTCAAAACCTTGAATTTTTAAATGATCAAGATGGTCCAAGAAACTATCATTTGGGTATTAAATTAAAAAAAAAAAAGTAATTTGCTTTTTTTTTTTTTGTCTGTCAGAATTTGCATGGTGCAATTTAAATTTTTCTCATTTTAACGAAAAGGCTTCATAAACTTTTTTTAGGCAGTTTTGTGTTCGATTGCATTACTATACTCTCAAACTGTAAAAGGGTAAAACATTGGAATACTAAATATTAATTTAACAAAATTTTCAATATTTTTTAAAAATTACACTACGCTGATTCCCATTGGCACATTTAACATTCGCGGATTCCCATTGGCACATTTAATTAAGATACTGATTATAAAAATTAAGAATAAAAAGATTATATAGTCTTTTTCATATGTACATTTAAACTTATGTTAGAACCTTCTCATATTTTTTGCTTTTCATGCTAATCTATAATTTATATTCAAAATTAAACTAAATTTATTTTTAAATAAGTAAAACAAATGAAAATTTATCTACATTTCTGAGTTTATTTTGATGGGAGAATTATATTTTAGACAGTTAAAGGTAAAAAATTAAAATGCGAATGACTAGCTGTACTAGTGAACATTAATGGCCAATTGCACTTGTTGGGTGTGCCTTCTCTACCTTCATCTTCAGGTGGCGATCAATATAAAGGAGTAATTTAATATAAATATAAATGCATATTAGTACTGCATTCAACATATTTAAAATCTTTTTTTATTTTTTATTATGCTACATAAATAGAAAAAACTTTGCGATGTTTACCTGACATCCTTGTATGCTGTTTTCTTTAACTCTCTAATAATCTGTGTGATTTGTTTATGTGTACGAGTTCCAAAATATATTTTTGAGATTCTAAATTTAAAAAAAAACATAAAATATGATCTTGTATATTAACTTGTCACTTGGAACTCTTAGAAAGCATTGCATTTATAGTATTAAAAAATGAAGCATTTCATTAGTAACAAAAAAAAAATTTTTTGTAAAAAAAGAACAGTGGACTAGTATGCTCTTGTACTAATTGCACTAATTATGCAGGTCAACAAAAAAAAATTGCACTAATTATACAGGTCAACAAAAAAATTTTTTTTTTAGTTACGAGCAAACAATTTGTTTTTTGTATGGCATTTTGATTTCAAATATACAACTCATTTTTCACCATCACATCAAGTTGTTAAGATATTTGGGTTTAAATCTTTAGCATTTGGGGTAAAATCCCTAATATTTTCAAAAAAAAATTATTCAAAAATGTCAACCTGGATCTTAAAAGAAGCATATTTTTATAGAGACTTTGATTGTAAGTTGAAAGACTAAAAACTTATTAATACTAAAGAATTATCTTAAAGAAAAACACTTGCCTGAATTCTAAAAATTAAAAAACTAATGAACGCATAAAACAACACTCTGATTATTGAATAAACAACCAAAAAGATCACCTGATATTTAAATATATCATACATAAATCATAAGTTAATAAAAATAAAATTATATTTCATTAACTCCTTAACAAATTAGAATTAAAAAGCTCTTCACTCATAGAACATCCTTATCATCACAACATCACTACACTCATAGAACATCCTTATCATCACAACATCACTACACTCATAGAACATCCTTATCATCACAACATCACTACACTCATAGAACATCCTTATCATCACAACATCACTACACTCATAGAACATCCTTATCATCACAATATCACTACACTCATAGAACATCCTTATCATCACAACATCACTACACTCATAGAACATCCTTATCATCACAACATCACTACACTCATAGAACATCCTTATCATCACAACATCACTACACTCATAGAACATTCATATCATCACAACATCACTACACTCATAAAATATCCTTATCATCACAACATCACTACACTCATAGAACATCCTTATCATCACAACATCACTACACTCATAGAACATTCATATCATCACAACATCACTACACTCATAAAATATCCTTATCATCACAACATCACTACACTCATAGAACATCCTTATCATCACAAAATCACTACACTCATAGAACATCCTTATCATCACAACATCACTACACTCATAAAATATCCTTAGTGCAAAAGTAAAAGCAGGTATTTATTATTCAAAAAAAAGTTCGAAAAACTCTTTTTATTACATGTATTAAAATAACAAAACAGAAGTAAACTAAAAGCATACTTTTTTCGCTTTTCTAATTTTACTGGGATTTCATCAGGAGCATAGTTTGGAAGCAACTCTATACTACTCTCAGATTCATTGTTGTCAATTTTTTTAACTGAAGTCTACAAAGGAAAATCAATCAATATATCAAAACTTACTTTATAAAAGTATAGAAAAACAATCATAAACATTTCTTGCAACAACCATTAAATACTCATAAATAGAAAAACTGCAGTATTTTAAATACTAAACATATTTATCAAGTTTTTTATAAAATTTCATTTTTAAATTTTTATGAGTGGTATTTCAAAGAAAAAATTTTTAATTTTACTTTAGAGCTTGCTTGTTTTTCCTTGCTTGAAATTATCATTATATTCTTGTATAACAAAAAATAACAACTTAAACCATAGTTTATTTATATACTAAAAACTATACCAATTATTTATTTATACATACTGACACCAATTATTTATCAGATAAGTTTAGATAATCTATAAAAAAACTACATCAGTCTTTTATTTATACAAAGTGAGACCAATTTAATTGAGATAAAAGAAATAGGAAAAAAAAACTTCTTACAATATTTTTTCGTATTTTTTTGGCTTCTCTTTTAAAATCATCGCCATCATCTTCTAAAAATTTTAAATATATAACATTATTTAAATTCTAGGTTTATCGTTTAATTACTACTTCAGTAAAATTATTTCAAACAAAAAAATTTGTTAAATAGTGTTTTCAAGATACTAATTGTTCAGTGATTATATTTCATTAAATTAAAAGTCACTGAACATATCTGCTATATTTAATTTAAAAAAATATAATAGTTAAATTATTAACAAAAACTATCCAATACCGGGCAAGTGTTTAATTTATAATGTTCAAAAAAACCTAAAATTATAATGTTATTATTGCATAGTTTGTAACTGGTTTTTAAAGTTTGCTTGATTGCAATGCAAAACTCAGGTTTGTAAGATTGTTTGATAAAGACTCTTTCCCTCTGGAAAACTAAAACTGTAAGAGGTTGACACAAAAGGGTTACCATAAAACATAGAAACAAGGTAGGCATTTTTTTGCCGACCTCAAACACTTTAAGGCCGGCAGTTATGTCAGCATTGCCAAATGCTAACTCTAATTCTGAAGGCTGATGACTATAAGCGTATATAATGACTATAAAAAATACCTTTTGAAATAACTTTTTTTGCTGTTTCCTGCACATTATCTTTGATATTAGCTTGAACAATATTGGCTTCTTTGATGTTAGCTTGAACATTGCTAACTTCTTTGATGATACCTTGAACATTTGTAACTTCTTCCTCTTTTTGCGCTGTAACAAAATGTACTTTTTAAAATTTAACTAAATAGAGTTTTAAAACATATTACTTTATTTTAAAATAAATTATTTTATTTGTTCTTTTAGAAAAACATTTTGTTTTCTCCACTATTCATTATCATTCACTTTTCACTTAAAACATTTTAAAGATATATTTTTTATAACTAAATAACTCAATAACTTTAAAATTCAATGTCATCTAATTATGTCATCAATGTTATCAATTACGTAATATAGTAATAGTAATATATTTGAGCTGTGACCAATAATTCAGTGAGTGTACTAAGTACACTTGGAAAGATATTACAATATTTAAAATCCATATGTCAAGTTTAGCTTTGAAATAATTCACAGAAATAGCATTAACGACATCAGTAGGTAGTCGATTTCAGTAAAATGATGCTCTGTTTGTTAAAAAATAATGCAGAGGCAAAAAACTGGTTATTTTGTGATTATATTTCATTTGATAACCTCTTGCTGATTGATAATTTTTTGGCAAAATTTCATTAATTAAACTTACTTTTTCAATTCCATTGAATAACTTATGCATTTGAATCAAGTCACCCCGAATCCATATTACAACTAAAGTAGTGAGACCCATTTTGTCTAATCTTTTCTCATAAAATAGTTTTTTTAGTGGCGATATCATTCTTGTAGTGCGATGCTGTACCTTTTCAAAGAAATTAATTTTATTTTTAAGACATGGAGACCGCACAGATACATTTCAATTAACGGTCTTACAAAAGACCAGTCTTATTTGCTTACTTGCACATAGACTTATTTGATTTTTCCACTACACCACCAAATAGATCCTTCCAAGATAAGACAACTTCTCCCATGACAACTCTTTGTCTTCTATTTTTTAGAAATGCTTCAATCTATTTTAACAATGTACCAGAAATCTCATAACATTTAAGCTTTATCAGTAGTCTTTAATGGGGCACTGAATTAAATGCCTTTGCGAAGTCTAAGTAAATTACATCTACAGGTACATTCTGATATAAATAATGAGATTGAATCTAATGTTTCAATAAGGTAGGTTGAACAGGTTTTTTTTTAAACAAAGCCATGTTGATTTTTCGAAAGAAGATTTTTTTCGTTTAGAAAATTTATAATTAAATCTCGTACAACCCCTTCTAGAATTTTACAAGGTACAGAAATGAGTGAAATCGGACAATAATTAAACGGCAACAGTTTACTTCCTTTTTTAAATTGAGAACTTATATTGGCTGATTTCCACTGAACAGGTAGTTCACTAAGCTGTATATAATGGAAGCTATAAATATATGCAAGTGGTAGTGGTTTTCCATATGCACAATTTTTAAGATTAAAGGTTTAACAAGATCTGCTCCACATGACTGTATTTAAACGTTCTAATCTATTAAGAATATCTTTGTATGAAATTATATCAAAATCCAAACTTTTATTGATTCTAGATGCAAATGTTGGCAAATTAAAATTATTCTCATGGACAAATACATCTTGGAACTTATTATTTAGTAAACTTATGATTTAATTTGGGTCACTAATTATGTCAATTTCACTAATTAATTCACTAATTATGTAAAGCTTTTATTGAGTTATTAATCTGTTGTTATTTGCTATTCATATATTTGTAAATTAACTTTGGATTTTTCTTAGCCAATGTCACAAGTTTTTCATAATTTTGTCTAACTTTTCTTGATTCATTTTTGACTTTCATTCACAAGAGAAGAAACTTTTCACCCTGAGGAACAGTTGCAAAATCTAAGGATCTTTTTTAATTTTATTAATTTTTTAAGATCATTGTTTATCCAAAATATTTGCTTTTTTTTCAAATATCTGATTTTTTGATTGGAATGTATAGTTTATACGCTGCATTCATGTAAAATATAAATATATTTTACATTTCTTGGACTGATTTGCCATTAAAACACGTTGACCAATCCACATTAGAAAACGATCTACTAATTGAATCAAAATTTGATTTCCTATAATCTCATACAATTACATCCTCAATTATAAAACTGATCTAAAAAAATTATGTAACTTAGAACTAAGTGCCCTTTTTTAATATTTCTTAGAACTGGATGTAATTCATTTTGGAATAATCTATTCTTTTGTGTTGTAAATAATAAAGTCAAGAGTATTAAGGCCTTCATTGTTTGATAATTGAAATGTTGGAAAAGAAACATGCTGAATAAGAAAGTGATCAATCAAAATATCATAAAATCTGTATTCATGAGAGTTTTTATTGTTTTCAATCAATCTTATAACACCTTTGGACCATTTAAAAAAAATGTTTTATTTACTTTTAATGTATTAAAGTTTGGTCCTAATTGACAATGTCAAGAAAATGTTATAAGGATAAACAAAAAAAATTATGTCACTTAGTGACAACCAAAAATATATATAAAATCTAGCCATTATTTTGTTTTAATATAACGACAACGTTCAAACTTTTATGTAATAGTTAAAGCATTGTTATTTAAATTATTTATAGTGATATTTCTTTAGTTTTTTAAATATACTTGATTACTCTTAATTTTTAGAGTTTTACATCTGAGTTAGGGAAAAATAATGGACATTTAAAACCAAATGGTAACATATAATGTTACATCTCAATATTTAACATTGTTATAGGATTCTTAAATTTGACTTGATTTTCCACTGTTTCAGGCTTGGACAGGAATGATGTGCAATCGAGCGCTATTGCTGATCACGCAAATCATTTTATTCTTTGACAACTTGACCATGACTGTTTAGATGTTTAGATGAGTTTTGAACATTTTAGGAATGCTCTGAGAAAAAAACGCTAGCTAAAAACTAAAACTACGAAAGAAAAAAAAAAAATTAAAAAAGAAAACAATTTCTTACGAAATAGAAAATGTATAAGCACTAAAATAAAACTCAAAAAACTCTAACTTGAAGCGAAAATTACTTTTTGTTACTTTTTTTAATTACGTTTAAAATAAATTGCTTCAAAACTTATCATTTGAAAAATTTATTACAGTTACGAAAAAAGCTTTCACAAATAACTTCTAACACTTGTTTAATGAATAAACAAATTTTATTTAAACTAATAAAAAGTCTTCTATATACATTATTTTTAAATTGTATAAACATTAATTTTTTCTAAAATATTGCAAAAAAAAAAATGTTTTAAGAAATATTGCACCGTAAAATAGTAATTTTTAATCATTTCATACTCTGATTTGTTAGTCAAGTTAAAAAAAAAGTTTTTAACGATTCTTTACAAAAATGAAACAAAAAAAATAAAGCAATTAAATCACTCCATTGCAACGGAAGATTTGATTTAACTTATTCATAAATTAAAGTAACTTAAAAAATTATTTACAAAAGATTTTTAGAAAGACATTGAAAAATAGTTTCAAATGTTTAAATTTATCATAAAAATACATGCCTACATAGAAAAATCTTTAAATATAACATTATTTGTTAATTACACAAAATGCGTTTTAAAAAATCACTATAATTAATAAAACCTTTCTCTTCATACAACCATGCTAATGTTGCGCAAAGTAATGCTAAACTTTTTCCACTTCCAGTAGGTGATTCTAATAAACAACATTGCCTCTTTTGAATACTTTGTAAAATCTGTAAAACAATAAAAAATGAAAAGAAAAAAATACTAAAATGACATCAATGCAAATGTAATCTCTACACTATCACCCATGTTGCAGAAAGAAACAATAAAAAATTATTCAAAAATTCAAATAATATTTTACTTTTGTTGTAACACATAAATTTAAAACTTATAAAAACAATATCAATTATTATTTTAACTTAGTTGGCATAGTGATAGCTATAACTATTTTTTGAAATAATTTGTTACTCTTGACAACTTTAATTTTAAAAAGATTATAAATACTGAGAAATACCATTAGTTACAAAGCAATGAACTAGTCACATGATAATTATTAAATCAAATCAAAAAACAAAAATAAAATAAAAATAGCAGCCCTTGTTTTAAAGAGTCACATTAACTTTTGAATTACGTTTTTGTAAAAATATTTGTTACAAAAGTTTGAATGACAATTATGTTTGATATAAGCGTTATTTAAATAATTAAATTTAAATAATAAATTTGTTTTATTTTGTTTTTATTTTATTGTTATAGTTGATTTTTTAAGCTTGAAGTAAAGATCATATAAACATAATTTAATTCTGATAAAAAAATATATGATTTAATTCAAAACAAATTTAATAAAAATATATAATTTTATTCTAAAAAAAAAAATACATAATTTAAATTTGACTTAAAAAATATATTTAAGTTTATTAAAATTAAAGTTAATGCTTGGGTTTATGTCAAATCAAATTTTACTGTCAATAAAATTTCATTTGTTGTTGCAAAGCTGCAATTAGAAATATAAGAAATAATCATTTTAAAAACTTAAAAATTTAACCTATTTTAATTAATTTATGCAAGAGAAAAGAAAGAAATTTGTTAATATCAAACTTTTTTTAAAAAAATATAAATTTAATTACTTATTAAAAAAAAAAAAAAAAAAAAACATTCCTTTATAGTAATAATAAAAAAACTGTTAAATAACATTTAACTTGTTTTGTGTTAATTAATATTATTTCAGTACTTTAAAAAAAGTTGGTCTTTAAAAAATAAAAAAATGAGAATTTTATCAAATATTGCGTTACGCTAATGCATTAAGCATTTTTTATTTAAAACAAGGCCTGAAATAGCATTGTAATACAATAACTTCATTTCAAAGGTTCACAACAGTTCTATAATTAACATTTTTTGAGTTTTACTTGATTTTCTTCTATTTTCAAATATTTTACCTTGAGAGTAAACTTTTTCTTAAAACTTTCCTTTATAATCTGAAAAAAATTGTTGTTGTCTACTACCAGTCCCCCTAAAGTAGTTTACGGAAGCAATTTACAGCTCTCGTAAAAATATAATTATTTCATAAATATAAACCACTTTTTTAATTTTTAAATATTGATAAGAAAAATCAAAAATTCTTGTGCAAAATCATATAAAAAAGGCAAAGTTCCAGTTTTAGATTGACTTTTTTTCTTACAAAATCTGCTTCTTATAAAATGTCATTACTAAATAATAAATTAATAATATTCTGTAGAAAATCTCTTTCTTTGTCAATGGTATGGTTTCTATTAAGGCTGTTATTTAAAATTCAGTTTATAATATTTAACATTTTTAAAACACACATTTGAAAAAGTAACCATATTACTTTTATTTTGGAATCTTAAATTGTTGTAATAATTCTTAAACTCCCTACTTTTAAGAAAATATAAACTATTTTTTGTAAGCAGTAAAAACTTTTATAGCTCTTTATTTGTCAAATTTTTATATCAAATCAGTAAAGTTGTTAATAAATAAATGAATAGCTTATGTAAAAACTCAAATAAAACCTAAATCTAAAGAATTTGTCCATGGCATGATAAACAACGCTTGTTATGTATATATACTTATAACATTGATGTTACAAGTATATGCAATGTCACTAGGCTAGAGCCAAGGTTAAATGTCGAACATCTTTGTTAGAGTTTTAAGCTAGAACTCTAACCACTTTGCCATGGCTGCAACATATAACGACTAATGGATTGGCATACACTTTTTGTTTTGTTTTGTTCATAAATTAATAATCATAAAATATGTGTTAAAAAAAAATGAATATTTAAAATTGAGTAAAAATAATGTTTTATTTATGTACACCCAATTTTCTATACGTCTAAAATTTGCAATTAATGATTAAATATAGTACATATTATACCTTAGACATCAAAGAAATTTGTGTTGGATAAGCTTTGACAGGGAACTTGACATTTACACCACTTATGCAATACTGATAATGATTTGCATCTATATCGCTTTTTAAATTGATTTCTTTTTCAGTATTCTTTTTCTTTAAATGGTTAGACATGCTTTTTATTTTTATTATTCAAATTATTTTATTTTATATTTAAAGTAAGTCTGTTGCATTTTTATCTTTTAACTATCATCATTATCAACTTATGTTATGTTAGGTGTATTTGTTGGTTTGTTTATTTTATTTTTCCCGCGTGAAATTATAGGTATAATTCCCGCTTTGTAGTAACGGACACATCCGACTCTATTGTAGTAGTCCGACACTACTGCAGAATAGATGTAGCATCGGACGTGTCCGATACTACAACCTTGCAGTATTGTTCTAAGGTTTTTCAAATGCCCTTTTATTTTTATCAGCATAACACCTAAGTAATTATTTACACTTAAGTAAATGTTGCTCAAGTGGAATTTTGCTCATATCAAGCAGTGGGGGTTTTTTCTATTAAAAATAGATTTACGTCTTTCATTTGTCATTGCTGGAGTTTTTGATGCCTCTTTAAAAGTAGGCCCGGCGCGAGTAGGTTTCATACATAAAAAAAAGAGTCGTTTATGGTTTGCAAATTCATTGTAGTTTTATGAATACTTGTTACTGTACAACCACAGTAGTTTTGATCAGGGCCGGCGCGAGTAGGTGTCACGTGGTGGGGTGCTATTACAATTTTAGCCCCCTTAAAAAAAAAAAAAAAGATCCTCGTTTTTGAAAATTTGCCAACTGTCATGACGACATTTGCAGACTGACTGTCTCAATTTACCGACAAACTTATCGAAAAGGTCTACATTTGCCGACTAAGGGTATCAAATTTGCCGACTAAAAGTTATTGATGGGGGTGTGTCTCACCCCCCTCCCCACACACACACACACACACACACACCCCTATCGCGTCGACCTTGGTTTTGATACACCTTTGTTAAAAATGTATAATATATATAATAATATTTTTAAACAAAATGTATCTGTTTTGTTTTCTGCCAATATTGCGGTCAAAATTGTAAAGCAGTTATGTTAACAATGGTCTGTTGTTACCTAGTTTTCTATTTTCTTTGCGGTACCAGGCTGGTACCGCAAAGTCGAAATACTCTATGCTAAGTCTGCCACTATCTTGTGGGGTAGTCATAAAAGAGTGGTAGATCCGACTAAAAATGGTCCGTGATACAATTAAAAATTAGAAAAATTTTATTTTCTTTTATAGTAACAAGCATAATTAACAAAGCATAGTTAAACTAAATTAATAAATGGTTATTCTGTTATGTGCAACTAAAAACAAAATCTTTAGCATATTCTTTTCCTTTAATCAAAACGTAACAAAAAATTTAACAAACCATAGTATAAAATTGAGCTTTATCTTTTTCGAAGATGCAAATCTATCCATAATCTTTTTTACATTTATAATGCAATCTCTATGATATATCAACAATTTGACAAGCCAATTAATTTTGCTTGTCAAATTGTTGATCTTAACCAAGGTTTAAGTCTTTTTAAAATCGAGAAACTCCGTTTTCCTGAAACAACGCTAACTGGTAAGGTAAAAAGCAAATGCAAAATACATTTAATGAAAGGGAAGCCATTGCCATCACATTACTTGTATTTTTCAAGTCATGTAGGTCTTGTTGCTTTTTGATTGCGTCATTTTATTGTTCATTGCGTCATTTTATTGTTCATTTTAGCTCCCATAATTTAAATTCTGAAAAAAAAAAAATCATTATTTGAACATTCTTAGTATTCATGTCGGCAGCTCTTTCCTTTGACTGTCATTTGAGAACTATGACTGGTATCCGTTGTTTCATCAAATATAACGCTTTAAAATTTTTCTTTTAGAATAATTGTTTTAATTAAATTTTGAATTTGTACAGCGCATTGTTGAAATATTTTATTTTGAACAGTTTTACTTATGTAAGTTGCTTTAAAATTATAGTAATTTAAATGGTTTTTAAAGTATTGTCTCCAGCGCTAACACGAAATCGAAAATCTCCAGCGCTCACTCGAAATCGAAAGTCTCCAGCACTCACTCGAAATCAAAAATCTCCAGCGCTCACTCAAAATTAAAGCAACTAACGTAAACTGTCATCATTAATAGAGAGTTTTTACTTATTTCAACGTTAAACTGATCATTTAATCCAATCACCAAGAAATATTATATAATAAATTATAGGCTTTAATCTACCTCTTTTTTTATAGTCTGTTTAAGCCTTTCTTCGTTAACTAAACTACGTACATCTGTATACAGATATTCATATGATCTGATAAAATCTGATGCTGCCAACATAGCAACTTTGTGATACGCATGACAATCATGTGATTGAAAATCTCCATCTTTAACCAACAGCTTTTCAAAGGTAAAGTAACTAGCTTGAATAATGGTACTTAACTGTGTATTCCCCCAACTTTTGTAAAAAGAAAGCAATTCTTACAAAAATTCTATATAGACATTTTGAAATCATTATTCACGGAAACTTATGTATATGTTTCTCGAACAAAGAGTATTTAACATTCTTATTCTTGTTTGAATGCACAAAGTGAGGGTATTTGTAATTTAACAAGGAAGTTAGTTTCACTTCAATATTTGGTAATTATCTTGTTCGTTATTTCTCTTTAAAAAAATATTTTTTATCATATCTTATATAAAAAAACGTGTGTCAACTTGTTAAAAAGTAAATATTTTTTATTAACATTTCAACCACCAAAAACGATATTTCGTAAATAAATTATGCTACAAATTAAAATTAAAATAAATTTTAAAACGAAAGCTATAAGTTTTTTTGAAAGTTTTTAAAAACAGAACAATAGAAATTTTATGGTTCTTTTATGTTATTTAATAGATAGATGTATTTACTTTAATGATATTAAAATGTTTAGAAACTTTCTTCAACAACCCTTAAAATGATAATTGTGCAACAAAAGCTTTCTCAAAAAAAAACCAGCGGTCGCATTCGTAACTTTTTTTTTATTTTTCCAAATGTTGGCTAATGTTTTATACCCATTAAATAAAAAAATTAATTGCAGGATTATTTTTTGTATTTTGTTATTTCTATAAAAAATTTGTCTAGAACATTTTGATGTTTGACAGGAGAGAGAAGGGGGTAGATCCCCTTTTTACCCCTTCCTCCCCCCTCTTTTGTACCCACCCTTATCTCAAGAAGGGACAGGGTTAGGGTAAAGTAAGAGTAAAGGGACGGACACTCGGGACAAACAAAAAATATTGGCTTTAACGGCGTCATAGTACCCCTTTGTTTTATGACGTATTTAACTGTAGCCTTAGTCAGAGATTTCTCTTTTTTTCAGCCCTTTATAATGACAACTTCAACCACTGAGGTTTACAATGCAGTCAAATATGACTGACAATTTGTCGCTATTACTGTTAATTATATATTATAAATATATAACGAGATAACTTTTGTTATCTCGAAATGTTTACTTTCAGTCCTTTAAAAGCAAGAACAAGAGCAATTGTTTTATTTTGTTTTACCATTGTTTATTCATCGTTTTCCTTGTCGTTTTTTAGTCAAACCGTTTTCCTTGGTCCCTTGTTTGTTTGAGTTAACGAGAATTCACTTTATTATTTTGGTTCGTAGTAAAGTATCGGAACAGAGTAATTATAGTTGAGTCATTAATTTTTGCAGATTTTAATGTTTCATAGATACCTTGAGTTCATGCAATGCGTTTGTTTTAATGTCCGGTTAACGTACAAGTTATTATACGCAAGCGCAATACCACTTACAAACATTTGAATTTTAAAGTCGGTTACTGTCTTTATAGTCCAGTTGTGTAAGATAATTAACCAGAAAAAATTCTAAATAAACTGAAATTTGGCACATATTCTCATAACTTAATATAATAACACTTAAAAAAAAAGCCCTTGGTGATGGCCTATTAGCACGGCCGCCGTTTTCCAATTCTAAAAAGGCTATTTGCACAGCCACCGTGTTCCGATTATAAAAAGGCTATTCGCTCAATCAATTTTTGAGAAACTTCCTGATGATAGATTTTCTTCAAGTTTTGCATACATACTCTTGCTTGATGACAATACAATATTCAATAATTAGTTATGCCGTAAGTTAATTAATTTAGTTAATTTTAATTAAACTTATTTATTTAACCGCGCGCTATAAAGGTGTCGACTTCGTAAACTGAAGGTCGCATGTTCGAGTCTTGCCTCTTCCTGGATATTTTTTGTTATTTTACACACGCATACAGCCGAATGTTAATAAAATAAAATAGTTTTATCAGAAAAAACTTATTGCAAAATTTGTGTTTTTAAAACATATAAAACCACAGGGTTTTAAAAATTATTTTTTAATTTTACTTTTTCTTTTTGCGTTCTTTTTAGAATTATTTTAGAATTTTATGTTATTACCAAAGCTGTCATTTTCTTTCAGATCTTCCTTTTTAGCTTTTATTTTGTTTTGTTGTACCTTTTAATTAATTCTAAAGTTACTGGGTAGTGCTATTTCAAATTTTGCCAATTTGACCGTGCAAACACCTTTTCTTAACTGTTTATATGGCAGCCGTGCCAATAGTCATGTTTAGAAGTTGTGCACGGCGGCCGTGCCAATAGACACTATCCATGGTAATAATGAGTTATTGACATCATTCCATAATGCTGGATTTTCATCTACTTTTTAATTAATTAATGATGATAATTGATTTCAAGTTTAGAACAAATAGGAAAAAAAATTATTTTTATCTGTAAATTTCACTCTTTTTTATTGAAAACGATTTGAGGAATAATAAATGTTCAAAGTTCAACAATTTGATTAAAACTTTGAATCTAAGAGAAGAATCTAAAAGCGCTTCGAATGTTTTCAGGGTTTTAAGTTAAACGTTTCAATTAAAACAAAATATAATGAAGTATCAATAAACTCTATTCGGCAACGATAAACGTTTTGTTTACATGATTATTTATTTGTTTTTTCAAGCAAAATAATAGAAAAATAAAAATAACTGATTATGTCAATCGAATAAAAACAAGTTAAAACCGAAAAGCGCATAAGTTTTTATAATATTTCACATATAGATTTTAATAAAATTTCAATTTAAAAGTATACATCTCGACACTAACTTTTTCTGATTGTTTGTTATGTTTTATATAAGTTAAAGTAATTTGTTTTTTTTAGAAACGATGGATGTAGACTAAGAGAATGCATTATCTGCAAATGAAAGAGAATGTATTATCTGCGAAGAAACAGTATTAAAT